TTCAGGGGGCTGGAGGCCCTTTGGAAGCCTCTTTGCAAATTTAGTGAATTTAAAAAAGTTCAAATAAGGCTCAGATACATACTCAATTTATATATCTTCAGATGTTTTTATCTGATATGTTAAAATTTACACAAATTCACTGAGCCAATTACTATTTAAGCAATATATATACATTCCACATAACAAAATTATGTTTCATTCTTTTTACTTTCAATTTCATATCTTAAGTTAATCCTTTTCCACTGTCTTCCACTTGTTAATGTAGCACACTTTCAACTGACTTGACAATTTCTTCAGATGTGGAAACATTTTGAAATTTTTCAATCCTTTTAAAATGATCCATTACTACTTGACTAGTTTCATCATCCCCAAAGTCACTGAAAGATTACTTTGTTATTATTTTTTGTTATTGCCTCCATCCATATTCAAAATATTACTTATCTTTCACTTTTTGACTTCACTCCATCCTTAACAGATTTGGGGCTACACCATGTGTTGTTATGTACATTGCCACTGGTTGGAGAAAGACTAGTTTTTTCAAGAGCAGGCTTGTCCTTTCAGTGAAAACGTTTGGCAAATGGGTTAGAGATCGCCTGATATCGGGAAAAAAAATGGCAGGGTCCAATGTTCACTAAGAAAAAGGCAGTTGTGATTGCTCTTTGTTTTGGCAATGCAGTTCTGCCCATAACTTTTCAATCTTTTTGTCCACAGCTTTTGATGAGCCTGGCAGTTACCATGAAAAAGACAATTTTCAAAATTTAAAAAGATGTATTGAAAATTATTCAAATAAAATATCACCACTCAATAAAAATTGTCAAAATTTAGTTTTGGAAACAAGGAAATAATCAAACTAAAACAAAACATAGATAAAGAAAATTTCCTTTCTAATTAAGGCTCCCACGGTTTTTACCAATTTTTGTAAACGGGTTACACGACTGCTAAGAACCGAAACAAATACCCAATTTTAAACAGGGGACCTCTATGTACTATTACACACCATGTACTTGAGTCGCCAAATCATGTCTTTCTTTCTATTTTTAATACATGTACAAATAAAGGGAATGGTGCAAGGCTCATCACGATTAGAGTCAGCACACATTTTTTGCCATCTGTAACCCCCATTTTTTACCCAAAAATGTATATGTTCACGAGCAAAATTTTGCACGGTTTAATGCTGTGTGGAGGGCTTTGTAAAAAAAAACACCCATTTTCCGTTTCTTTACTTTGGAATAAACCACTAAGAATTGATTAAAATCCATGATTACAGGCCCAATGATTTTAAGAAATTTGTGAAGACAATATGGTTCATTTCGACTTAAACAGTATAAACAAAATCGGTAAACGTTTATGAATGGGAAAAATCCCCGAAAACGAATCCGTTTTAAAACGTGTAATCAGTGGGGGCCTTAGTTCTAATCCCTTTAAAATTAATATAAGCTAGAAAAAAAATCTCCAGAACCTATTAAAAATTTGGCAAAGGTTCCCCTGCCAACAAGGCCATTTTTTAATTCAACCCCCAACCCTTGCCCAGGAAACCATCATGAAAACATTGGGGAAGACAGAAGAAAAAGAGGGTGGGTAATGTGAATTGTTTATTAACTACACCAATGCACAAAACTTAAACCTCTTTTCTTATTTACTCTAGATAGTGGCTTTTAAACTACAAAGAAGAAAATGATCTTACTTGGTCTAAGATTCTTTTAGTGGTCCTCATCTTCAGCTCATCTTGTTAAGGGAAGCACCTTTTTCTGTTCGATTTGTCTAGTTGATCGTTTTGGAACAGGACTTCCCAAAAGCCCATTGCATTTGGTTTCTTCAACCCCAAGCATCCCATTTTTCACATTTAGAGTCCCTTTTCCTGCTTTAACCACTCCCACCTCCATTTTTTTTTTGCCACCCTTTTTCACAGACAAAACTTCACCCGTTGTTGTCCATTGTATTTGTACATGTTTTTGACATCAAATGACCTATGCCCAACAAACGATTTTCATTGGCTGGTGTAAAAAACAACGGACCAATCAAATCTGATCTTTATATATTCTAGCTCAATTTTTCATCCGGCAATCTCGTAAATTGTAAAATTGTTTTTTGATTCGTATACAAACCCGGGGTTCTTGAGATGGACAAATTTATTTTAAAATATATATCCAGCATTATCAAACAATTTATGCACGCTAATTAGTGAGGCATGCACACACACCCTTTCCCGATTTCTCATCGGATTTGCGTCATTCAGAAAAATTACCTCGGAGATCGCCGAAAACAATGTATAATTTTAGAAATCATATCACGGGAGGTGATATTTACATAAATACTAAATGTCATCCCTTAATACTTCACAAATAGTTAACAAAATACCTGTTTCAACGAAGCACACCGATAATTGTATTCATCTTCACTTCTTTGTTTTGAAATACGAGTTTATGTTACAAAATTTCTCAATTTAAAATCAAATGTGGACGGACGACGGACGCCATTTGGTTGGCCATCCTAAAAGCTCACCTGCACTTTGTGCAAGGTGAGCTAAAAATAAACTCTTTAACTTGATGTTATAACTTGGTTTCCGATTTTGATCTTTCAACAATTTACTTTTCTGATCACTTGAGGATTAAAGGTATTTTTAATTATACCATAACAGCAAATTGATATCTACTAGCTATTCTAACACTAAAGTCCACTACTGTAAATATGGTAGTTTAACAATTTCAGTCTTACAATACACCACTAAAGATTTTTCTTGTGAAAAAAAATAGTAACAAGTGTACTACAATTAGGTCAACAACTGTTAAAATGACAGTTTATAAGTTTCAGTCTCAGTTTTCTTGTAAGATTTTTGCTCAATCCCAGTGTATTCTATTTTGAGTTTGCAAATTTTGCAAACACTCCACGTTCGGTCTTCCACTGTCATTATACAAAACTGTCTGATGGTTCCCCAAAAACTATAATGTTCCCAAAACTCGAGAATTATATGACCATGGAGGATTGACTGTAATTTCCCCTTTTACATATTTTGCAGTCTTCATGTTTTCTGTTTGTTTGTTTGTTTTGTTGTTTTTTTTACGGGAAAATGATGTCAACGAAATGAAAGTATAAATAAGTGACGAATATCACTATTTTAATCCGACATTAAGTGCTACAAAATAAAATTACAAATTCATGTTTGTAGGTTGTTTTTTCTTGAAATCGCAGATCTCTAATTATGTTTTTTATTATAAACAATTTCAAAGAACACCAGCCAATTTACATGGAATTGATAAAACATGGTTAGTAACCGTTAAATGATCGCGGACATGGGGAAACGAGATGACAACGATGGTATGATAATAGTCGCGCTTGTTTATTGTTTTCATCCGAGCTATTTTTCTTTCTTCTACGTTTTACAGTCCTTATACTCCTGGAAGATATTGTAAGTGTATTGCGATATACATTTCCGCTGTATCAATACATCGGGAGGTGAAATATGTATTGCATTGCAATATATTGGAATTTGTAATTTCATTACGAAGCATACATCAAGGACAAGACAGATCGCGATGCATCGATGAATCGTTATACCTCTATTGATGTGGTCAACATTTAGGCCTAGTTATTTAAAATCATTTGATGCATGACAAAGTTACAGTCCAGACACAAATGTGTGTACCTATTTACTCTAATTGCGATAATGTGAAACTTCAAAATGATAGTGTGACCTTGACCAGTTTGAGGTAGGGACGTGGTTCTTGGATGCGACACATCGTCTTGATGTGGTAGACATATGTGCCTAGTTATTTCAAAATCACTCTATGTATGACAAAGTTACAGTCCGAACACGAATGAAGTAGGGACACACAGACTGACGGTGGGATTATATTATGCCTCCCTTCAGGGGCATAATTAAAGGCTTTGTAGTTATTTTAGTGTCAAAATAATCAAACTGGATTTGTTCAAAATAGATATATTGGAGAGAATATTAGATTATTGTATGATATAATGAAATTTACTGAATATAATAACATACCAGGTTAAATTATGATGATCGATTTTGAAAAAGCTTTTAAATAGAAAAAATGCCTTTCACTGTTTTTTGGCCCTATGTTTAGGAAATGGATATACATGTATCATTATTTTTAAACAATACTGAAACTTGTGTTATATACTAAATGGTTTTTTTTATCTACATTCTTCAAAGTTAAACAAGGCTGTAGGCAAGGTGATCCAATTTTACCATATATTTTCATTTTATGCACAGTAATACTGGCTATTAGAATAAAACAATGTAATGATGTTAAAGGTATACTTATAAATGGTGAAGAATATAAAATTACACAATTTGCAGATGCTACATCATTATTGTGAGATGGTTCTGAAAAATCATTAAATAATCCTTTAAAATTTTTAAATATATTTTCTGGACTAAAAGTAAATTTTGATAAAATCAAAGTCATGTTTCATAGAAATATTTTCAGTACTTTTTGCATTATCACAGGATCCAGTTTTGTAGACAGATGGACAGACAGACAGATGGAGGGTAAAGTGAAAGTCCCGTCTTGTTAAAATTGGTTGACTAAGAACAAGGTAATAATAGCAACTTTGTTACATTTTTGAAATACTTTCTTAGTCATAAAAGATGCACAATCATGTCAAACTGTCAGTTATGAATTGAATTGTGGTATTGCATCTCTTCCAGTTCCTGATATGAGATGAAACGGGACTTGACTAGACAAATGACTCCTATATAGCCCTGCACACCCAAACTAAGTTTGGTGGGGGTATAATAATACATGTATTATGTAGAATTTTACAGAATACATTTTAAGTTCAGCCTGGATTGTAAATATTATATCTATAGTTTTGAACTTTCAAATTATAAACATTATAAATGCATTTCTTAAGTCTGAAAAACTTTCAAAGTTAAAATAAATATTTCATAAGTTTAAAATTTTTAATGTTTAATGTAGCTAATATAAGGAAGCTGCAGCAGTGCATTAAAAACAGATGTAAAAAAACTAAATACTCACATTGCCCATTTTCCTGTTTTTGCTTTGAAATACTCCACCTCATTTTTAATTTTAGCAATTCCCCACCACACAGGTTTTTCACTGTCATGTGAAACATCTACAATCTGAGCTTCAAAGGGTGATGATTCGCCAGAGAGAAAATGTACCCACGGCATTAGGTAGAGCCAGGATGGATCTTTTGTTGTTCCTGCCAAAGTTTTTACTAAAGACAGCAATATATCCGAAATAGACTGCCTGAATTAAAAAAGAACAATTATTAAGATAAGAGGGCCATGATGGTCCTGAATTGCTTACAAGAAACAACTGTTTTTCAATGATTATAGAAATAATTTTTCAAATGAACTTGTAGAAAGACAAGTCCAGCTCAACTTCAACTTGCCCCTTTAGTTATAAAGTTTCCTGACACTGATTGTTTTTTGTTGTTGTTTTTTTCTTTATAGTAAAAATATTAGGAAATGCACAACTAGGGATGGTAGTGATCACTCCTGTGAAGTAATGTCCAAATCCTGCCAACAGTTTGACCTGTAAAAGCTGGACAAGATTTTTTCTATTTATTGTTCTGACCACCATTGCGTGCAGCGAAGCAGAACATGCTAGCTATATGCACAACTAGGGATGGTACTTATCACTCCTGTGAAGTAATGTTGAAATCCCAAATGAAAGCCGAGCAAGATTTTTCTATTTACAGCTCTAGCAGCCATTTTGTGCAGTAAAGCTGAACATACCAGCAATATGCACAACTAGGGATGGTACTGATAATTTCTGTGAAGTTTCATTGAAATCCCACCAGTTAAGTTTGACCTGTGAAAGCCGGACAAGATTTTTCTATTTACAGCTCTGGCAGCCATTTTGTGCAGTAAAACAGTACATACCAGCAATATGCACAACTAGGGATGTTACTGATCATTTCTGTGAAGTTTCATTGAAGCGAAGCAGAACCTGCTGCTGAAATGCACAACTATGTATGTTACTGCTCACTACTGTGAAGCTGCAATGAAATCTTGCCAGCAGTTTGACCTGTGAAAGCCTGACAAGCTTTGAATGTGGACAAATGGATGGACATATGTACAAAATGGTACTTTAGTGACTTTTCTTTTGATCGTTTTAGTTTTATTTAGTCATACAAGCCCTAAAAAAAGATAACACTTAGTAACAAGAGCCATTGCCAGGCAGGGGCAACGCTCCACTTTTTTACTTTTTCTAACAGCAAACAAATAAAAGGTTATAAGAAATCTTTAACAAGAACTATCACTCAATGTGATAAATACAACCGCAAGACTGCTTTGGAAATGAGGATGTGACAGAATACTTGCAAAGAATTGAAATAGAGTTATGGTTGTGGGCAATTAAAGATAGTTGTGGTTCTTGTATGTTGTATTCCTTTTAATTAGGCTGACCATTGTATGAAGTTTCATTGAATTCCAATGAAAACTCCAATGACAAGGAAAAGTAACAAAGGGCAATAACTCTTATGGTTATTGTACATTGCACTTCCTCTCATTGCCCTAGACCATTGCATGAAGTTTAATTCCAACTACAAGTTTTCAAGTTATGCACTGGACAAACAAGAGCACCGCTAGGCGGAGCATTATATGCCCGAAAGTGATTTTTTTTTTTAGTAAAGATGAAGCATTTGTAAGACATGGGAGTAAAATAAAGTATTACCTCCTTCAAATAACAATCCTCCTTTGAAGTTTCAATATTGTGGTCCAAATGGAACTTTAAGTTATGTCCCAGAAACTGTTTTCAATTCTAAGGTAAAAGTGACCTTGACCTTTGACCTTGTGACCCAAAAATCATTAGGGGTCTTCTACCCAATATGGACAATCATACTATGAAGTTTAAACACAATAGGCCAAATGATACTTAAGTTATGTTCCGAAAACTGTTTTCAGTTTTAAGGTAATAGTGACCTTGACCTTGTGACCCAAAAATCAATAGGGGTTTTCTACCCAATACGGACAATCATCCTATGAAGTTTGAATATTGTGGGATAAATGGAACTTAAGTTATGCTCAAGAAACTGTTTTCAATTTCTAAGTAATAGTGAACTTGACCTTTGACCTTGTGACCCCAAAATCAATAGGGGTCTTCTTCCCAATATGGACAATCATCCTATGAAGTTTGAACACTGTGGGCCAAATGGAACTTAAGTTATGCTCCAGAAACTGTTTTCAGTTCTAAGGTAATAGTGACCTTGATCTTTGACCTTGTGACCCCAAAATCAATAGGGGTCTTCTACCCAATATGGACAATCATCCTATGAAGTTTGAACACTGTGGGCCAAATGGAACTTAAGTTATGCTCTGGAAACTGTTTTCAGTTTTAAGGTCATAGTGACCTTGACCTTTGACCTTGTGACCCCAAAATCAATAGGGGTCTTCTACCCAATATGGACAATCATCCTATGAAGTTTGAACACTGTGGGCCAAATGGAACTTAAGTTATGCTCTGGAAACTGTTTTCAGTTTTAAGGTCATAGTGACCTTGACCTTTGACCTTGTGACCCCAAAATCAATAGGGGTCTTCTACCCAATATGGACAATCATCCTATGAAGTTTGAATATTGTGGGCCAAATGGAACTTAAGTTATGCTCCGGAAACCAAATTGCTAACGGACGGACAGACGGACGGACGGACGGACGGACAGCCGGACGGACGCCAGGGGGTATAACATAGTATGTCCAAAATTCTTTCGGGCATATAAAAAGTAACAAAGGGCAATAACTGTAATTTGTCAAAATAGAGTTATGGTTCTTGTGCAGTGCACTTCATCTCACTGGCCTTGACCATTGTATGAAGTTTCATTAAATTCCAACCATTAATTTTTAAGTTATGCACTAGAAAATAAAAAGTAACAAAGGGCAAAAACACTTAAATGAGTCAATAAAGTACTACTGTTTCTGTGCCCTGCGCTTCCTCTCAATATACTTTACCATTGTATGAAATTGTATAGAATTCCAACTAGTAGTTTTCAAGTTAGGCTCTAGACAAGAAAAAAGCAATGGAATAGGAACAAATGGCAATAACTCTATAATTACTCTTAATGTGCTTGTAATTGTATGAAGTTGTTCTAATTCCAATCAGTACTTTTCAAGTTATGCTCCAGACAAGGAAAAGGAATAAAGGGCAATAACTCTGTAATTAGTCAAGATAGAGTTATGGATCTTGTGCACTGCACTTTCTCTTAATGTGCTTGATGATTGTATGAAGTTGTATTGTATTCCAACTAGTATTTTTCAAGTTATGCTCCAGACAAGGAAAAGGAATAAAGGTCAATTACTCTATAATTAGTCAAGATGGAGTTGTGGTGCTTGTGCAATGCACTTCCTCTTAATGTGCTTGACCATTGTATGAAGTTATATTGAATTCCAACCATTAGTCTGTAAGTTATGCTCCGAACAAAAGAAAGCTATGGAAAAGTAAACAAAGGGCAAATAAACTCTGTAATAATTTAGATAGAGTTAATGGTTCTTGTGTGCACTACACTTCCCCTTATTATGCTTGACCATTGTATGAAGTTGTATTGAATTCCCACCAGTAGTTTTCAAGTTATACTCCGGACAAGGAAAAGTAACAAAGGGCAATAACTCTGTAATTAGTCAAGATAGAGTTACAATTCTTGTGCACTGCACTTCCTCTCAATGTGCTTGATCATTGTATGAAGTTGTACTGAATTCCAATCATTCAATATCAAGTTTTGCTCCGGATAAGGAAAATGCAACGGACCGCTGGAACAAGCAACCAACTGACCACGGAGTGACTCCTATATAACCCCCAAACTTCGTTTCGGAGGTATAAAAAGAAAAGGAATAAAAAGTAGTTTTTCCTTTTTTAAAACTTTTAATAGGTAGGTCTGGTCAATAGCCCAAATTTCATACCTGCACATCAAAGGACAAAAAAGTATGTCACTTCATCAAATCATCTAAGTCAGCTGACAACAAAGTTCGATTTTACATCTAAAACTGTGCACAATCATAGTTGTACATCATTTCATAGCTATACATCAAAGGATAACAAGAGCCATGTTATCATGGCCATCCCCTGCCGAATGTGTTTGCTCATTGAAAGAATATATATGTAGTAGAGCAGAATAATTCACTTTTAAGGAGTCTTTTGGTAATGAAAACGTATGATGGCTGGAGTGATAAAAGCTATTGAAACCTATGTGAATACTGATGGCTGAAAATAACAAAGGGCAATAACTGAAAAATAATGCAGGGTAGTGTAAACGTATGTCAGGATGGGGAAAATAAATACAATTCTTATACAGTTTTCTAAGTTTATAACAAGTATTTTGGCAACAACAGTGTCTAGTGAGTTAAAAATACTGGATATAAATACATACCAATTTACAAGTTTGGATAACAATGTCGTTTGTAAGATGTTTACTGCATTTGAACTTTGGCGGTTTTAAAACTTTATTTACATTACTTGGAGGTCAAGACCGAAGTGACAACATTGGTTGGATTCTGACTTTTATAAGGTTCTGTGTTTGAAATCCACCAATGAAACACCAGAAATCCGGAAATCCTCCAATGGACAGACGGCCGGATTTCTGAATCTGAAATCTTGGATTTCAATGGCGGCCATATTGAAATCTCATATAAAATCTGCATACGAAAATCGTTAATATACAAAAACATGTAGTGAATACTTAAGGATTTCTGACCTTAATCAATCATAAACTTTACATAAATTACATTCTTGAATTGAATTTGACTGAAATTGATATTAACAATAAGAAATCTTCAATATAAAATATGAAGTGACAGATTTCAAAGATGTCTGTCAATGGACGTCTGCTACACAGAAAATGTAAAGAGAAAATCAGTTTTCTGCTATACAATAAGGTAAGTTTAACAATTCTATCAGCTTAAATTGCAAAGTCAATAGGTGTAAATACAGTGTTCCTTCAGATCAATCAGGTAAGTGAATCTTTTTCTTGTAGAAGTAAACAATATATGAAGCTATAGGATTTCAGCATGTCACTTGGATTTCATTATAAGTTCTGTTGTAAGTACATTTCAGAATTATGCAAGAATGTCAGATCCTTACAGTAGGCTATCATTATTGTGTGCTGCACCCCTCCTCAATGAGATCTATCCACCTATGAAGTTGTAAGTTGATACCTCTTAACACTTTTTGAGATAAGCTCCGGACAAAAAGTTTGAAAAAAATCAAAGGGCAATAACTCAAAAATTATAAAGGGAAGAGTTTTCATTCTTGCACAC